ATGGGGCTGCAAGTTTGGTGTAGCACATTCAGCCACCACCTGCAATGTGTCGTATTGCATGTAGGTTCCAGTCTGAACACTGGCTGTTCTTCCGATGCAGCTCCCTAATGCACCCGGGAGAGCATCAGAAGATGGCCCACACCCTTGGGCCCCTTCCGCCACATGGGAGACCCATGTCTGACTTTGACCTATCTCAAGCCTGATCACTGCAGCTATCTGGGGAGTGACCCGGTGGATGAAAGATTCTCTCCCTCTCGTCTCTCTTTTCTACAACTCGTTCTTTCAAATAAACAAATAAATCTTACTCTCTGCCCTTCTTAAATTGTTGTTTTGTGGTTTCACCCATGACGTGTTATTCTACATCTTCAGGCAGTGGTGATGTTCCAAGATGTGGCTATTGAATTCTCTCAGAAGGAATGGGAGTGCCTGGACCCTGCTCAGAGGAGCCTGTGGAGCCTGTACAGAGACGTGATGTTGGAGAACTATAGAAACCTTGTCTCCGTGGGTGAGGTCTTCCACGTCAAATATGCGAGCTCCTCTCTGCAATGACAGATTTCATGTCTTTGAATTCAGGATATTTTCCTACAAAACAAGCTGAACTCTTTCTCTGTTTCTTATGGGATGAGTTAACTTTGTTGGTTTGTAAATGACACTCAGACTAAATATTTTTTGTTTTCATCATACTTCAGCGATCCTCATGAAACATTTCTCTATTTGCTCCTAAAATTGCCCCTTCCTTAGTGACTTCAAGACTGGGTTTGAATGCTGAGATACTGATTGCAGAGCCAAGGTCAAGCAAACCAGGTTTCACATCATATCTGAGTTGAGAACTGTTACGGATGTTCTGTTCTTGCTGTCTTGGATACAGGAGAACAGCCCTCCTCCTCCCCACCTCCCCCCCCCCCACCTCTGCTATTGGCCCACGCTGGATCTATAGTTTTTGTGTCATTCAGGGGTGCAGAATGTCTGGCCCACAGGTTACACAAAGCTTACAAAATTACCCCTGTCACAGCAACCACAGGCAAGACTCGAAAGTCAATCAATCTACAGCAGGCTAATCTTTAAGTTGGTAACATTGCATGTCCTGAGAATGATGTTCTAAATATCCAAATAACTCCTGGCAGAAAAAAAGGCCCCCTCCCCATCCCTAGTAGATGAACAAAATATATTTTAGATAAAAATATTCTGTTTCCTACAACATTTTTTAACTTGCTTTTGATTAAAAGTTAAAATTCATTAGCTTAGCATTTAGCTCTAAGAGAATATAGCAGGAACCCATGACTCAGAAAGCTTTTTGTATTATTTTTTCAATATCAGAAAAAAGAAAACAGTTCATTAAAACCTTACGATTGTGAGGTAGTATTCTCAGCATTAGTTATGAGACTTTCATTCTCATTTCACAGATGAGGAAACTGAGGCCCAGTGAATTTGCTATAATGAGTAGGTGGCTCAAGCAGGATTTGAACCCCCAGATTTCTGGCTCCAGAGTTTATACTCTTCATCACTGCCACCTCTTACTAGAGTGCGCCTATATGTGTTTTAATTCTAAAAAGATCTCTCTGGCTCATCAAGTTTTATGATTTCTGGGATTCTTAGATCACCCTAAGTCAAATATTACCTTCATGATATCCATTTTCTCGGAAGTATGTATCAACATCATGTTAATTCAGATGTTATTACTAAATTTAACCAAGCCTCCGAGTGTTTTGGAATTTGCGTGTTTTACTTCTACATCTTTTATTTCCTTCCTGAAAGCAGGGTATGCTGTCTCGAAGCCAGATGTGATTACCTTGTTGGAGCAAGGGAAAGAGCCTCGTATGGTGGGAAGGGATGTGACAGGAGGAAAGTACCCAGGTGAGTGAAGCCTCCTCAGGCAGCTGGAAGTTATCACTGTCACTAAAACCCGGCTGGTCTGCAAGGAAGCCCTGCAAGGTCCCCTTCAGGGGCTTCAGGCCCACAGGCCAAAGCTGGGAAGGAAACAAGCTTTCCTGATGTAAGTTACCAAAAGGATGTCAGCTCAGGTCCCAGCTACCTCTGTCCTTGTTCTTCTCTCCCCTTCCCCTCCTCTTCATTTCTTATCTCAATAGACTATCTTCTCTTTCTCAATGCAATCATTTGCCTTCCACTTTACTTTCATGTTTTCATGTACTCGTTTCCAATGCTTAAAAGTTCATTCTTTCACCTATTCAGCATATATTTATTGAGGGCCCACTCTGAGCCAGGCCAGGCACAGTTTTAAATATTATCGATACTTGGATGATGAAGCCCAAACCTGAGGCTGGCTTTGCAGTTCTGTGAGAGATGCAGGGAAGTGTAAATAAGGGAGCAGATAATATAACATTAAATAATGATGCTTGCTATGAAGGCAGGACAGGCAAAGGGGAGAGAGGTCGGGTAGCATTAATTTGGGTGGGGTACTCAAGGAAAGCTTTTCTAAGGAGGTGCTGCCAATGCAGAGACATGAAATAGGAACTTAGTCCACATGAGCATCCGGGGGAAAGGCTGTGCTGTGTGAAGGCAGGAAGGGCCTCGTGTACTTGAGGGACAGCAAGAAATTCAAAGCAACTGGATAAATCTGTCAGTGCTGATCCAAGCCTCTGCCTGTTTTGGTAAGTAAAGTTTTGCTGGAACATAGCCACCTGTGTTTATTTATACATATTTTGTTTGGTAGAATAGCTCAACTGAAACAGAAAAAACAAACAAACAAAAAACAGGACCCACCAAGCCTCTGATCTTGACTCTCTGGCCCTTTACAGAGAGTCCTCCCCTAGGGAATGAATAAATACATGCTGTTAGAACGAAGAGGGCCAGATAAGGCGACAGTAACTGAGCCTGGGGCACTCTATCTCAAGAGTGGAAAAAGAGTTACTCTGTTTCTAAACAGAGAAGGAAGAGGTGGCAGCAAGTAGATTGAGAACAAGTAATCCAGGGGGAACAAGACAAATGAAGAAAGGTTTCAGCCAGGAGGAAGTGTCCACTGAGAATTGTCCACAGGACAGCAGAAGGAAGTTGGCTATGACTTTGTGTAAGAGATCAAGGCGTCCATGGACTCTGGGGGTGGAAGCTTACTAGGTATGTCTCAAAAGAGAGTTGGAGGCAAAGCAGCGCTGATGTTCTGAAGTAGAGCATGTCTTTATGGGGATTTTGTTAGGAAGAGAACTAGTGATGAGGTTAATAGCTATGAAGTGATACAGGATAAAACAGTGTGTTTCAAGATAGGAGATTTTCGGGCCTGGCATGGCAGCCTAGGGGCTAAAGTCTTTGCCTTGAATGCGCTGGGATCCCATGTGGGTGCCAGTTCTAATCCCAGCAGCTCCACTTCTGCCCAGCTCCCTGCTGGTGGCCTGGGAAAGCAGTCAAGGACAGCCCAAAGCCTTGGGACCCTGCCCCCGCGTGGGAGACCCAGAAGAAGCTTCTGGCTCCTGGCTTCGGATCAGCTCAGCTCTGGCTGTTGCAACCACTTACAGAATGAACCAGCAGATGAGCAATCTTTCTCTCTGTCCTCCTCTCTGTAAACCTAGCTTTCCAGTAAAAATAAATAAATCTTTAAAAAAGAAGAAAATATGCAGAAGGGCAGAAAATCAATGGCCATGCATTTGAAAATTGTAAAATGAAAGAAACTGACACTGGAATAGAAATAAAGGCTGTAAGACTGACTGACAGTCAGTAGGGCAGCCCATTCTGTGAAAGAAATTTATAACCTGAGATTGAAGGATGAAAAGGAGTCAGCTTTTCACAGAGTCATTTTTAAGAGACTTAACAGCATATTTAGATCTGTGTGGTATCGGAAAGGTCATAGCACAAGCCGGATCTAAATAGAAACCCCTGTTGTGGGAAATCAGATGCTCAGTGCCTATGAAAGAGGTTAAGAAACCAAAGACCATATTACAATCTATGGTGACATGTTTGTATTTTAGTCTAAGAATAAAGAAAAACTACTGAAATTATCAATTGGAGAGTCTCAAGCTTTTCAGAAGAATCTAATGGAATTAAAAAGTCAAGATACTCAGTTCCTTCTCGTTTGATCTGGAATGTTATCAAAATAGCAGTATTTCTTTTTTTTTATTTTTTAATTTTTTTTAAAGATTTATTTTTATTATTTTTTTATTGGAAAGGCGGATGTACAGAGAGGAGAGACAGAGAGGAAGATCTTCCGTCCAATGATTCACTCCCCAAGTGAGTGCAACGGGCCGATACCGATCCGAAGCCAGGAGCCTCTTCCGGGTCTCCCACGCGGGTGCAGGTTCCCAAAGCTTTGGGCTGTCCTCGACTGCTTTCCTGGGCCACAGGAAGGGAGCTGGAAGGGAAGCAGGGCTGCCGGGATTAGAACCGGCGCCCATATGGGATCCCGGGCATGCAAGGCGAGGACCTTTAACCACTTGCGCCACCTCGCCGGGGCCCAAAATAGCAGTATTTCTAATGAATTCCCCACAGGATTCTTATCCACACCAACATTTCTGAACCACTAGATGTAAACTATTTCCCACACCATCCTAATCTTATCTTGTACTCTCTAAGCTCATACTGCCTGAGTTCAAATTTTAAGACTATATTGTGAAGTTCCTCAAACCTTTTACTTCTAATAAAAATTGTTCTTGTCCCTTATTTTGAAGATGAATGTTTTAGGTTTGAATGGCTGTGGGGAAATGATTTTTGTGTACTTGTTTTTCTTTCAGGTTTGTTCTCCAAGAGTAAGAACAAGACGTTATCTCCAGAAAAGCATAGTCATGAAATCAGTTCATCTAATTTGGAGAAGGTAAAAAGAAATACAACTTCCGACCTTGAAGGATCCATTGTCAGAAATGATCAGGAAAGCAAAAGTGAGACTGAAGGTCAACAGGAACCTCAAGAAGGACATTTCAGTCAAAAGAAAATTATGAATCAAAGAAGGCCATCAACTCAAAACCATACATCTCATCCTCCCCAGCAGAAAATCCATGATAGCGAGAATCCTGAATACAGGGAAAGTGGGAAGCCCGTTAGTTGTGACTCCAATTTAGTTCGACACGAGAAAATTCATTCTAATGAGAAACATGTTTGTAAAGAATGTGGGAATACTTTTAGTAGTGGCTATCAACTTACTCTACATCAGAAAATTCATACTGGTGAAAGGCCCTATAAATGTAAGGAATGTGGGAAGGGCTTTAGGCAAAGCTATCAACTTACTCTGCATCAGAGATGTCACACTGGGGAGAAACCCTATAAATGTCAAGAATGTGGGAAGGCCTTTACCATCAACTCACAACTTACTAGACATAAGAGAATTCATACTGGCAAAAAACCTTGTAAGTGTAAGGTATGTGATAAGGGCTTTTTCAGTCATTTAGAGCTTACTCAGCACGAGAGGATCCACACTGGTGAGAAACCTTATAAATGTAAAGAATGTGGGAAAGCTTTTCGACTTAATTTCTACCTCACAGTACATGAGAAAATTCACACAGTTGAGAAACCCTATAAATGTAAGGACTGTGGGAGAACCTTTGGTGCCTGTGCAAAGCTTATCCGACATCAGAAAATTCATACTGGTGCAAAACTATATGAATGTAAGAATGTGGGAAGGTCTTTAGACTTGGTTTTTACCTTGCTGAACACAGAAGGACACATACAGGTAAGAAATCTTACGAATGTAAGGACTGTGGGAAAACCTTTAATGTGCATGGGCAGCTTAATCGGCATAAAACGATTCACAGTGGTGTAAAACACTTTGAATGTGAAGTGTGTGGGAAAGCTTTTAATTTTAGTGGTGACCTGAGAGTACATCAGAGAATTCATACTGGTGAGAAACCGTATGAATGTGAAGAATGTGGGAAAGCCTTTATACTTCGTTCAGCCCTTATTGAACACGAGAGAATTCATACTGGAGTAAAGCCCTATGAATGTAAGGAATGTGGGAAGACCTTTAGGGGGCGCTCTCAAGTGAGTCTGCACAAGAAATTTCACACTGATGTAAAACCCTACAAATGTACAGGATGCAGGAAGACCTTTAGATTTGGGTTTTACCTTAGTGAGCACCAGAGAATTCACACAGGCGAAAAGCCCTATGAATGTAGGGAATGTGGGAAGGCTTTTATTCGTAGAGGTAATCTTAAGGAGCACCTAAAAACTCATTCAGGTCTAAAACCCTATGAGTGTAAAGAATGTGGGAAGACCTTTAGTTGGCGTGGACAGTTTACACAACATCAGAAAATTCATACAGGTGTAAAGCCGTACAAATGTAAGGAATGTGGGAAGGCCTTTAGTCGTAGTGGAGACCTTAGAATACATCAAAGAATTCACACGGGTGAAAAGCCCTATAAGTGTAAAGAGTGTGGAAAGGCCTTTAGGCTTAATTCACACCTCAATGAACATCAGAGAATTCACACTGGTGAGAGACCATATAAGTGTAAAGTATGTGATAAAGCCTTTAGACAACATTCACACCTTTATCAACATCAGAAAATTCATAATGTAACCTAAGAAACCATGCTTATTATTCTACATCCAAAAGTTCACGGGAAATGACATTAGAGATAAATTAATTTTTGTGCAAAAGTTGAAATCCATGCATGGTCTTCATTATACGAATTTTCCACGGATGGTTAAAGACTTAACATTTATAGAATATAAAAATACAATATGGAATAATCATGCTAGATAATAATTCTGCCAATGTGTCAACCTTTCTTTAAGACAAATTGACAATAAATGGGTAAGAGGTTTTCAATACCTCCTGGTTCTTGATAAATTTTAGGAAATTCATACTAAAAACAAAAATTAATGTAAAGTTATGGGAAACTTTTAGCAGCAACATGTACTTATCACTGCCTTTGCGCTTCTCTTATTTCCTGTGTGATGTGAGTAAAAATATTTACCTCTTGATGCCTAAACTGTGAAATGATATCCTACTAAAAGTGTGGTTAATGGTTTATCACATGCATTTTTCTGTAAAAAGTGTCTTTTATTGCAAATATTTTGAATTAACATTAGATAGTTTTACTTTTATCATCAATATTACTGTTAGTGAATCTTTTAAATGCACTGAAAAAAGCTGCATTATAGTTCACGAAATTTGTCTTTGATAAAATGAATGTTGGGAGTTGAATGTTCAGAAATTTTGTGGTGAAGTCCTAATCCTGCTATTTGGAGGTGGGAGCCTTTGGGAAACAACTGAGTCATGAGGGTGGAACCCTCACGAATGAGATCAATTCCCTTATACGAGCAACCCAAAAAAAGCTCTCCAGAGCTCCAGCTCTGTCTCTAGTTCTCTTTGAGCTATGTGAGGACACAGTGGGAAAGCAACAGTGTAAAAAGAGGAAAGTCCTCACCGGAACCCAAGTAGACCAGCACCCTAATCTTGGTTCCAGAACAGGGAGAAGCACATTTCTGTTGTTGATACATCACTGAATTCCTGACGATTTGCATATCGGTCCAAACTAAGATGGCCCATTTCAATACAGAACATACAGAGATCTGAATTCAGACCTTATTGCTTCAGTTCAATCAGAGATCTAAAACTGCGAAGAAACTTTAAGAATGTAGCAAATAGGAAGATGTTAAGAATAAATAATAAAGCTGCTGGCACAGCAGTTGGTGCAGCAGTGAGAACATGGCCTGGGATTTCTTTATCCCAGAGAGCCTGCGTATGAATGCTGACTCTGCTGTTAATTCCAGCTTCCTGCTGATACACCCCCAGGAGCAGCCCTTGGATCCCTGCAGGCGTCTACAGGGTAGGCCCAGATTGAACTCTCAGCTCCTGGCTGTTGCCTGGCTCAGGCCTGGCTATTCCAAGCATTTGGGGAGTGAACTAGTAGATAAGAAATCTTTGTCTCCCTGCCTTTCAAATAAACAAACACTGAATTAAAAAAAAAATATTATACCATCTGAACTACCAGATAGAGGTATGAGGAATGTATGTATAATACTATAGAAATTAAAAGGATTCAACACAAAGCTATCTACCTTGTGATTTTTTTAAAAAACAAATTTGTTCTGAAAGTTTTCTGACAGAGAAACAGAATGCAATCTATACTGACACTCATTTTACTTTCCACCTTGATTTGAGCATTTAATTTTCACATTTGTTTTGTTTTTAAATAAAGTATGTTATTTTTGCTGTACCATGTGTGAGCTCATTATAAAATATATCACTTCATTCTTAAATAAATCAGTTTGTATCTCCTTAAGTATTACGTGTAAGTGAACTACTACAATCATACCTTAAAATTAATAATTTAATGGAATCTTACAACACCTGGTTCAAACTGAAACTTCTCTAATTGCTGTAAGAATATATTTCATAGATACTCTATTAGGGGTCACTTTCCAGGTTTGTGCATTGTTACATTTGGTCTGTCACTTTAAATGATACCATCATTTTGTGATACTGGTTTTTTGAACAGTCCATCATGGTTGTCTTTAGATGCCTTGAATTTTTTTATGTGTCTAATTCATTTCCTCATAGTGTTCATTTTGTTCCTCTGTCTTCAAGATGGATCTTAGTGGAAACTTGATTTCATATTGGTTAAACATTTTTAGCAAAGCCAAGTCATAGGTATAATACAGTTTAAACAGAGAAGGCATACAATGCCAAGTTTTCCCATTATAATTGATACTAAATCTGATCACTCATTAAGTTGGCAATTTCCAAACCTTTCCACTGTAAAGGTGCATTACTTTCTTAATTTTAAGTTAAGTAATTGGTGATAATTTGAATCTCCTCTTAGAAATTTATACTTGCATGTATCAGATAGGCATGGATTAAACTGATAATCACAATTTAAACAATTGTTTAAGCGCGATGAAATGTGGGATGTGATCAATGCTCTAGTCTCTGGGATATTAATATTGCTTAATGCACATAGAAAACCACAATTGAAGTAGGGAATATTTTGTTTTCTCTGTCCTTAGCACCTGCTGGATTACCTTTCACTTAATAAGCATTTGATAAAACTTAGGGAAAATAAAGTGAATGCTAAAGTCAGATGAGGCTGATATAATTAAATTTGGACATTAATAAGAGAGATAGTAAACAAATGGACTTACCTAATTTTTTCCAAATATTGATGAAAAGAAAAAAAAATGGCACACACACAGTGACAGCATCATGAACAAAGAAAGTGACTTCACCACAGATACAGATATCACCTAGTTAAATCATGAGAAAATGCTGCTACACAGTCCACATATAATGAAGTATTTTTGAGAAAGTACACTGGAATTAAAAAAATATAACCAAGCCTAAACAAACTGGTAAATTTAGAGGATAATTAAACTTAACTCAAATGATTTCTTATATGTTTTCCAGCATAGTACGTTTTAATTAGATTTTAACATCAAAAGCTCAAGAAGCAATTAAATGGATATTTTAAAAGTTCAAGGAAAGAATCCTTACCAGAATTTTCGCAGTTCATGCTGCATAGTTGACATCATCCAACTGTAAAAAAGTAAAATTTAAATGATTTCTAATTAAAGGAAAAGTCAAAATATTAAATAAAATGTCAACAAAATGATATATATATGATGTCCAGGCACTCGAATTTTCTGGATCTGGGCAGTTCCCACATAACTTTTAAAAATAATTTATAATTGTTATATTTTAATTTTATTCTCTTAGATATATTTAGTCTTATTTCATCAATACCTCAATTTCATCAATGCTAAAAACCACTTTCCCTTGCCATTTTAGCATTTTCAAAATGATGCCATTTCACAGTCAATACTATCTTATAATTACATTGGACCAAATATCAGTGAAGATTTGTTTATATTTTGTGGTAAGGTCAATACTGTGCCAATATGAAAGTATTTTATACTTGATACAATTTATATATGTACATACACAAACACAAACTAAGCAAGGATTCATACAAATTTAATTCCTTATAAAGATGATTTTCTGAAAATAACTTTCCACACACATTTTATTATTTTCAATTAAATTTTAGTAAACTGTTGGGAGTATTGCTTATATATGCAGGCACACATGCATATAAATGGCTTATTAAAATATAAATAACTGCTGAGGAATCAGAGATACTGGAGGATATCTGAAATACAGAAAGCAACTGCTATTAGATCATTTAAATAAATCAGAAACCAAAATAAGGTAATAGGTACCACTTTAAAAGATGAGTATTACACAGCAAGGGTGATTGCCTAGGGTTTGTCATAGGAATAATATGGAGACAGTGAGAGTAATGAGATTGGTTATTTGGGGGAAGTAAATAACTAGCGTGCTCCTCTTCTTTAAAACAGCTAGTCGTTACTGTCCTCGGCTTCCAGGAGGAATATGAGAGACTAGTGAGTGGTCCCTGCACTGGTTAAGCAGGAGCATCCCTAGGAGAAGCAAGCAAGATGTCACGCAGCATTACAAAGCTGCTGCTTCCTTCTCTCTCCTGAAAATTAGGTCAGAGTAAAAATCAGAGCAGAATATCCTATTCTGCACGGAAGGAGCCTCATCCGCAGAACTTGAGCATTCATCACAATTAACAACATTTGAGGGGAAAAAGCTGACTCCCATATAACAAAAATAATTCTGATAGAAAATGAGGTCAAGGCAACCATATACAGATAGGATTTAGAAGATGTGAGAATGACATTCTGAAAGATATGTGATGGAAGATGGCATATCTCCAACAGCATAGATCTATTTTATAGAGGAGAGAGAGACAGAGAAAGAGATATCTTCTATCTGATGGTGCATTTACCAGATGGCCACAACTACCCTGGTCGGGGCTAGGCCAAAGCCGGGAGCTTTTTCCAGTCTCCCACATGAGTGAAGGGGTCCAAGCACCTGAGCCACCTTCCACCTCTTTCCCAGGAACATTAGCAGGGAGCTGGATCAGAAGCAGAGCAGCTGGGATTTGAACCGGAGCCCATATGGGATGTAAGTGTTGCAGGTGGTAGCTTTACCCATTATGCCATAATGCCAGACCTTTGTATATACAAATTATTCAGTTGTCTTTGTGCAATAAAAACTTTAGCTGAGGGAATTTCCTTTCTCTAAAGATGCGGTAGGTTTCTCCCAATAGGTAGCTAAGCTAAAAACCTGGGATATTACACAATGTGGAGTGGCTGGGACTTGAACCAGGCACTCCAATATGGGATATAAGTATCCCAAGTGGAGGCTTCCCCAGTTGCACCACAACTCCTCTTTTTCTGTTTCAAGAAGTATATACAGTAATATGTGTAAATCAATGCTGATGCACATACAATGCATAAAGATGTGTTTTATGACATGCGTACATAAATCATGATGGCAGAATCATGCAAGCAACATTGTGTACTACTGAAGCAAGTAGGTGTTAATTCAAACTAGGTTGTTATTTATGAAGACATAGCGTTGGAGAGACATTTAGTCTGCCATTCAAGATGGTGGTCAAACCATTGATTCTCCTCATCCAAGTACCTGGGCTCCACTCCCAGCTTTCACTGCAGACTCTGGAAGACACCAGTGATGGCCAGAGTAACTGGATTCC